CAAAACAAATATATTAGCAAAGGCCTTTACAACAGAGCGAAATCATTACTAGAGGAAAAAATCAAATAAGTCGAACCCATTGCATTTTGATTCTGATAATCAATCAATCTGGTCAAGCTAAATTTCTTTCTTTAAATTGGGAAAAAGTGATTAAATCTGAGGAAACCCAGCTGGTTGCAGCAGCAGCTCCTCCTGTACTGTATACGAACTGGGAGCTAGTTTCACAGAAAACGAGCCTAATAACCAAAATATCTATATCGCTGCCATTCTACCTTTAGAACTGTAGGAACTACAATTAAAAACCTGGTTTTGAGATATTTGGTTACAGCCAGACGATGTTTCGTAGATGTATGAAAAATGCACAGTTGATAAGAAATAATGGGGCTGGATATAAAAACCGCAATTACATTTATGGGGGATTGCTGGAGATTGACTGGATTAACTCTCCATCTCCAGCCTTTTGTTGGAAAAAAAACACTTTCAGATCAAAAATAATGAGGAAACCACCGTTTATACTTTAATTTAAGCTGACATGCCCTCTTTTGGATAAAACAAACTAAACTGTTGAAAGGGAAACTAGCTAGTAAGAAGGTTCTAGCAGTGTTTGGTTTTATGGTATTTAGAGGCCTTTAAAACCTTTTGTAGAAAGGCGTGACTTGGAGTAGGAAATGGCTGAGAGGATTAGCTCTGCTGGAGTTCCTTCAGCCAGCTCAGATTTAGCTAATTATTTTCATATTTTCCTTTGACTCCTAAAGCTGGAGCAGTTCTGCAAGGCGCAGTGAAAAATCCCACATACATGCTGTAACAGAGAGAAGGGATGGTTTAAGTGAAGGCACCCCCACTCTGGCAAAAAAAACACCAAAACAGGCATTCCAGTAACTATTATCTTCAGCTGCTCTTTAGTCTTTGCTCTTAATTAATAATTAAATGAAAAAAAAACAAAAAAACTTTGGTTATAGGATGTAAGCATAATCTTATTTCATAATGCTAGAGTATGTAGCTGCTCATAAAGACAAGAACTTTAGTTTCCTGGAAACAGCATTTTGATTTCAGGTTTTTTGTATTTTTCCAAATGGACTACTCCGATCATTTAGGGATGTAACAATAAAACCATCAACAGAAAGTTATTTTTCTTTAAAGTTGATTGTTAAAAGTTACATTTCTCCCGGCTGGTAAATGGCACACTCGCCCGCTCTGCACTGTTTGCCAATCATAACCGTTAGGGGGACCCGTTAGGGGACCCGTCATCGTCTGTTTGATGCTAGCCTACTGTTTAGATCCTTTAATATGTATAAAACCATTTTTTTTAATATATATTCCGTAAATTTATAGTTTTATTCTCCACCAGTTTAGAAATATCATAGTTTTTAAAAATGTATCGCTTTAATGAAGAACCTCAATATAATTTTTCATTAGATATGGATTTTTTTTTAAGTTCTCTCTTAATTCTTATCATTTCTAAATTTGGTTTTGCAAATATTTAGATTAAAACCTCAGATTTTTCTTTGTTTTTTTTATGCATGTTTTGAATTAAGATAAACTTAATTTTTATGTATGTTAGATTTATTTTGATTCAAAATTCATAGAAAGTGCATCAGGTAAATCTATGGTTATACCAGGTTATACTAAAATCTCAAACTCAATATCGATACCCTGCAAACTTTTCGATTCTCAATACCATTTCCGATACTGTGAGGAAAGGAAATGACAAATAGTTAAAGACAAATGTTTTTGTTTTGCATGAGAAACGTTCTGAAAATAGATCGCGCTTTATCAACTGAATCATAGATGCTTGTTGAATAAATGTAAAAATAATCCAAATACACAATACCAAAGTTATTCATCTGACTTAAATGGCTTTATATATTTTTTTTTGTAAGACTAGCTTCAAATGTGTCTTTCATACCAGCTTTAGGTCCTCGTATTTGAAAGACTCGTTCCTGTTTGTGTGGATTAAAAGAGTTTATTACATGTGTTCTTTATTGTGATGATGGGTCAGGTGAAGCGCTTCCAGACCATCCGGAAGGTCATTGGAGCAGATCCATCAACACCCAACAATGAAATGGAGACCATTTTGTGCAAACTGCAATATCCTGCTGAGCATGTTAATGTAAGGAGGAATCAAATGAAAGTACTGTAAGCTCAAAATCAAACCGACAGTTCATTTTACAATGAAATGTTTGCTTTAAATGGCATTTTTATCTATTTGAGTCAAATCACAATATTCATGACAGATTAGCTTACCACTAAAAAAATTGACATACCTCCTGCTTTTCAGTTATTTCATTTATTGTCCTGGATTTCCTAATATATTTTTGATTATCAAAAGAAGAATACAAAGGTTGAGGAAAGTACTTTAGCTCTGCAGCTCTGCATGCACTGTAATAGCCTTTCATGTTACGAGTCCTGCAGGTCTATAATTAGCCAGGTTTTTGGGTCGGCTGCAGTGTTGCTACTGAACCGGCCACTTTGCCAGACTCTTCATTATGCAAAACGTGTTTTGTGCGCAATGGTCTAATTGATTCTGAATGAAGCATGCATTATTGATGAGCAACCCAGCCCATCTCTTTCTGCATCTGTTCCCCTCTATGTATGCCAGAAACAACTCTACATTCCCCTTTGTTTAGTTTCTGTTTGTTTGTTTTTTTCCCTTCATTATTTCTATGCATCAAGGGATTCGTAGTAGGAAGACATTACAAAAGTTACTTCTTGATGGCAACATAACAGAACTAGCACCTCAGCCAATAAAGCTGTAATCCCTCAAACCAATCTCCTTTTCCTTAAGACTCTTTACCTGCAGAGACCCCAGGGTTAGCACTTTAACAAGAATGAATATCTGAGGTGTAGTAAAATGACTGAAGCTTATTTAATCTGTGTTTTTTAGGTTAAGATGAAAGTGTTATTGAATTGCATCTGAAGTATGCTAAACTTCTCATGCTTATAAGTGTTTATATGTCCTTATAAAAATACCTTTTTTATGTTTTTTTTTTTCAGCACCAACTTATTTTATTATTAAAGTCTTAGGAATGCTAAATCTTCCCTACTTTCATGTCTAAAGAGCACTCAAATTTGACAGAAGTTTAAAAGTAAAAACAAATGACTATTTTGATGTATTTAGTCCAGGACTTTTTGCCTCTTCAGATCAATAAAGTTGTCACAATTAACAGCAACAAGATATCAAAATGGGAGCTTAGTGGTGCTGTTTGTTACGTGTTGAGCTACTTCAAAACTCCCAGTGTTGAACTGGTTGATCCCAGCGAACGTGAAGCACTTTCACAGAGGAAAACCATATACATGTCAAGCACTGATGTCTGCGCCAGTGGCTGACCCTGCTCTCCCGACAGGGTGTCAAATGCTAAGGCGCTCTCCCGGTTAATCCCGTGTCGCCTCTTTCTCTTCGTGGCTCTTAAAATACCGCAACTTCTGTGTCAAGCCTACCTCTTTGTTGCAGCAGCAAGATGAAACCACATGACATAACTGGGACTTTTTCATCCGATCTGTTCTGCAGTATACCATTTTTATATTTGATTTATTTACTTTTTTTGTTACCGGTCTGCTTATGGTCAGTCAAACCTTTTTTTTTTTTTTTTTTTCATTTAACCAAAATATTGCTCAGCTGGACTCAGTAGCTGGCAATTTAAAAGATAGAAAAAAACAAACTTAATTTTTATTTTCTACCTGGTTGAAAAAAGCTAAAACTTTTGCTGTACATTTGGCAGTTGAAAAATAGTCAATTCCTTAAAGTAGCAATGGACTCCTGGCCAGCTGATCTAAAGGATCGGCTGTAATTTGGCTTCGGAGAACACATCCCATCAATCCCAGCACCTTGGAAAACACTTTGCTCATTGGCTAACGTATTCAGCATCACCCTGCCAGCGATCCAACCATCTAATTTGATGCTGCTGTTTTGGATGAAGTGAGAACCTGATGTGAACGTTGAACCTGATCCAGTATTACTCAACGACTTTATCTCTTTACAGCAGTGGTTCCCCACCCTGCTCCTTTATTACTATTGTCCTGCATCTTTCAGATGCTGTTAATTATCCATCCCTTGAGGCAGGTGTGCAGCAGTGAGGAGTGACCCAAAGCGCGCTGGATAGTGGGTCCCTGAGGACCGATATAACAAAAAAAAAACTATGCAACTATTACTACAGAATACATGCATACATTAACATATCACTTTAAGCCTTTTTAACTTGCACCCAAAACTAGTTTTCACTTCAACAAAGCACACAGTTTAAAATCAAATCATTATTAAAATTATTCCATAGTTTCACGTCAATAACTGAAACACATCTAGATTTTATTAAACTTTTCTATTTGGCGTATTCAAATGTTTAGACCTTTACATTTATATTAACACTCAACTTCTGAACTCCAGATGGCTGACTATAGGTCAATGCTTTTAACTTTAGTTCCATTATTTTTATATTGGAAATATTAATGCATTTTAAAGAGTTTGCTTAAATTAATTGTTTTTGTGGATCTAACTTGAGCAATGAAACAAATTGTTTTTGTGACCTTGCAATATTATTAATTGATGGCAAGTAGGGTCTTTCTGTCTGAATTGTATTATTGCTTGAACTTAAACTGTTGAAGTAAAGTTTAAGTAAACTTTTCAGATTTTATAAACAATTGGGGGAACCTGAGTTAAGCTATAACAAACAGAAAAAAAAAATGTACAATATATTCTCATCATTTAAAGCTTTAAAAACACTGTTGTCAACAAAAAAATTTGGTTTGCACTTTTCTATAAGTTAATTGTGTATTTATTAATTATCCCAGGACACTGTAGAACTGTAAAAGCGTTGCGTCTGGTTGCTCCAGAGGTTTCTGATATCTGAACCTCAATTAAACATCATTACCTGACAAAGTTAAAATGGTGGATTTAAGATCTGAAATCCATCATTTGAAAGCTCATTTGGTTAAATGTGTTGTTGGAAAACATATTCTACATTTTAGTATTTTAAGGTTGAATCTATTTCTTCTTTATTTCCTAGGGAAATGAAGCCAGTTACCCCCTGGAGATGTGCTCACATTGTAAGTATTTTTACTCTATATTTAATTGTCTTGATTTTTATTTAAACCGATTCTTTTACAGCTTTTATGGATTTAAATGATCAGGTAATTTAAAAAAAAATTGTAAAAAAATCTATCAGAAATTTTAGTGCTAGCAGATATCACACATGTAGATGGTTTAATATTGTTTCTTTTCTGCTTCCCCTTATTTTTATCGCTTTCTGTAGCACCTAATACATCACAGGTAGTAAGAGCCTGGATGTAGAGTATTTAAGTTATAAGCCAACATTTCTTGCACTTTTTTATATGTGCAGATTGCATGCAGCTGTAAATTAATTATTAATTTCAAAATATAAGTGCTGTCTAAATAGCACATAATAATTTCCTGTAAAAGGAAAACTAAACTTTTGCACCCAGTTATATCATTTTCTTTGTTTAGATATGGAAGCCAACCTTCCTGTGTTTGCCTACTCCAGTTGTTACATAACTTCACACAGCAGACTCTGTTACATGCTCAACATCAGCAAAGCACATACACTAAAGTAATATTCCTTTTTGTTGATCATCATGACCCTGGATATCAATCACTCAGTCCTGTTTTGATATCACACCCTCATCAATCCATGTACTGTATCAGTTGTTCTTTTTTACCCCCTTATTCTGTTTTTTTTCTTCTTAGAAAAATGTGGCGCAGAAAGTCAACATTCTGTGCTTGTCTTTCAGGATACAGAAGGTGTTTTAATTATTCATTGAAACAGGTTTTCTCATTAAACAAAAAGAAAAATGGGGTAAAAATATTGAGAGCTATACAAGATGCTAGGATTGTAGAATTAAAGAGTAAAGGAATTTAAAATTATCTTTCTTTTCTTAGCTTGACTGCTACCTTCTCCAACTAACCATCCATTAAATTACAGTTGCACCCTACAATTATTTTTGGACAGACAAATTATCATTTGGAAATTCTTATCTGTTTGCAATCAATAGATAAACCAGCAAGACAAAGTGAAATTTTAATCTAAAAATACCACTTTAAAAGACCTGCAGTCTTGATTTAAATCAACACCTTCATCTTCAGTACCAAGTTATCCGTTAGCTTAGCTCCTGTGGTACAGGCCTTCTGTTCACTGACCATAGTGGACTTGTTTGGTGTCGCCACCTTTATCAAATCGCACCAGAGATATCGGATCAAGTCAGCTGACTGATGATAACTCTGGTATCCTGAATATCAACCTGATGAACGGAGAAGTTCCTGGGATCATAGTGCAGTTTAAATGTCTGGTGATGCCTTGGATTCAGATTCTAAAGAAGACATTTTGTGTGTTGGTAAATTTCCTGATGCCTAGAGCTGCAGGATGAACAGAATCACAGCACAGCAATTTAATGCTGCCAAGATGCAATATTTGAAAGGTTACAAAAAGCTCAGGATCACTTAACCATCACCATACTTCTCTGTAGGTAGCATTTGTTTTGTTTTTATCGGTATAGGCTTCATCGCTCTTCTCCACTACAACTATGCTATAGGCCAGAAAGGTTCCAGTATTCGTCGCTGTTATAAACAGCATCCTGCAAACTTCTGTGGTTTATTCAGTTGAGGTGGAGCTGACCTTCCTTGGACCAGTAGTACTGATGAACATATTCGCTTTCTAGGATAGGCTTCTGGTGAAAACTGGCATCAACTCTTCTTTCAGGTCTTATCAGTCAGTTGAATATTTTCAGACACCTACTTCCTCTTCCTCTTTCTGCCACATCCATGTAACTGTTTGAGGGATTTATGGGGACCTTTTAACATGGTCTCTGCTCTTCTCTTGACCATGTTTCTGACCTGCATTGAAACCAGTCATGCTGCACAATATACTTTCTACAGCTGGATGTGGAGAACCAGCCTAAAAAAGCACCACTGCTGCATGTGTTTAATGAGCACTGAGACAGTGACTGGTCCCTCTGTAGTGTAGGTGGTCTTTGGGGACTATAACAGTGTGTATAAATGAATGATGAGGTCGATATATAATCAGTCAGTTTTAAATCAGGTCTTTGAAGATGGATGCACAGATAGTTGGTGCCACAGTTCTAAAAGGTATGTAGGAGGCAGGGGGTGGGGGTAAATGTCCTTTGTTCTCTTAAAAAGTGATTTGATGCTATTATGGTCACACCAAAGAAGCTGAGGTTTTAATATTGTATGAAGCAATTCTAAATGCATCATCTCAAAATGGAAAGAAACATGGCAATTCAATTAAACTGATTGGATGGACTATAAGAACGTTAATCAAAGCAGTAGCAAAAAGGCTTATTAGCTCTGCAGGAGTTTTGCAGATTAACAGCTCAGCAGGGAGAATACATTGATGGAGGAATGGCAAGAAGAAAGGCCTAAAAAAAACACCAAAGCTGCTCATTTGTCGTCCTAGACCTTCTTTGTTAACTGGTGCATGGTCATATTGGAAGGAGGGGACATCTCCAAACTTCCTGAAAGGCTGGGAGCAAAGGACTAGAATCTCCTGTTATGTTGAAGTATGTAGAGTTCCTGTCACTGGAACCAAGCCCAGCGTCTTAAAAACCCAACCCCACAATATAATCCCCCTCCACCAAACCTTACACTCTGGATGTAAATTAGCAAGTTTTCCGCAATCTAGCAGATGTAGAAGTTGTTTGTTGTTTATTAATATGCTCTGTACTCATTAAATAAATGAAGTAATTTTAAAAGTACAGTCAGATAAGTACTATTTTCTGGCAACAGCCATACTCTGACTGGGCCTTAAGATTGACAGCTGGAGAGGCTCAATTCATCACTTCAGAGAAGGCGCCTCCACTGCTCTCCAGTCCAGTGGAGGTGTGCTTTACAGCACAGCATCGAAATTTGGATCGCACTCAGTGATGTATGGCTTGGTTGCAGCTGCTCGGCCATGGAAACCTTAATCCACGAAGCTCCCACTGCACTGTTCTTCCGCTGATCTGAACACTGCATCAATTCTGGAGGTTTGCACTGACTGCAGAATCTATGCGGCTTCTGTACTGCCTAGAAAAGGTCCACATACCTAGCTGCTTGATTTTTATAGACCTTTTGGTAGTGGAAGTGATACCTGATTTCATTTTGGAGGTATGGGTATCTGCCTAAAACAGCTTTTTTTTACCTACACAGAACTCTGTATTGAGCTCAAATCCTGACCACACCATCCCCATTATGAAACCCCATGGTAGTGGAAGCATTATGGTGTGGGGATGCTTTAGTTTACTATGGACAGGGAAGGTTGATAGGATGGATGTTGCTAAAGATGTGTCTGTACTTGAAGAAAACTTGTTGGCAACTGGAAAAGACTTTGATTTTGAAATTTTTGAAACTAGAGCGACAATGCAGTAGTTTAAATCAAGGCATGTGTAAAAATGCTCCAATGAAACTCTAATGATTGATTAGATACAAAAATCTCAATCAAAACATGGCTCTACAAAGATTGGTGAACTAAAATCCTTATCTATGCAAAGCCTTTATTTCCTTTACATATTTGAACTCCCTGCATTATTTTCCTTCATTACATTTATTTTCCACTCTCGAATCAAATGCGACAGAAAGCGTAGTTTCTGGTGGCAACATGGCGGAACCCGTCAATGTTCAAAATCGGGCATACTTTTTGACGGCGTGTGTGCAATAACATTTTGAAAGTGATATGCCTCTGTAAAGTGAGCAGGTCTGTGAACAGAGCGACACTCTGGCCTGTCCATACTTAGTGGGGGACAGGACCTTGGCCGGCCTGGCCTTCCAGGCATCCCCCCGGATTAGGCCGCCGCATTGGGGGGAGCTGGATTCAAGCGACTCGTGACGGTGCTCTGAAATGCTTAAAGCTTTATTCCTTATGTTGGTTCTTCTCTCCCCCTTTATAAAATATTTTTTGGTCTTTGTTCATCCCAAGCCCAGCTTTCTCCCATGCCTTCAGTGCAATTGCTCCTAGTGTTGGTATTTAACGGATTGATCAGGAAAATGTTGAATGTCAAGCATGGATGCTAAAGGGTAGCCTTTGAGTGGTAGACAAAATCTAAGACATGCATATAAAAGGAATCCATCAAATTGTTTGTAAAACTACTAGATAACATTCTTTCTGGCATTCAGAAAATAATTACTTGTGTTTCAATCCTGTTTCTTGGATATTCCATCCTTTTCGTCTTTTTCATTTTATCCGTCTTCCACTGGCTCTGTAATCCGACTGACTGAACAGCTGTTCAGCTTCTCAAATGCTCGGACAGGCAGGCACTGACTGTGAAGACATTAGCTCTGGCCTGCTGCTTGAAGAAATTCACCCTTCTGCAACTTGCTGCTCTCAAAGTGACCTGCATCAGTAAATGTTTGCTCCATGCCAACTAAACTTGGCACGAGACGCTCAGTGGCTCTGTATATCGAGATCCACCAGATAAACATGAATATTGTCTTTGTTAATCACCTCGATTTGACTGATAGTGGAAAAGGTAAAATCTTTGAAGCTCTTCTTTTGGCAGTACACTGCTAACAGAATTTAATGGCCCACTAGTGATAGCATGCATATTTAGGCATAAAAGACGCACCTCCACACATTTTCAGCACACATTTGCTTAAAAGCATGCCCACTCACTGGCCCCTGAATGCACGGTGCTCTGAAAGAAATGCAGCAGCAAGCTTGAAAGCACCGCAGCTCGGGCTGCGGCCACCCAAAATAAAAATAAACAGCAGGCAGTTTGTTGGAGTTCCTTGTTGCTAGGGGTTTCCCTGAGGGCGGGGGGGTGAGGGGGGGAGGCGTGAGCCTCTGATGGAGGGGTGAGTTGGGGGTTTTCTAATGACGGAAAGGCTATAAATACACACCATCGATGTTGTGTCCAGCTGTGTCTTTAGTTTGGTCTATCCAAGCAAAGTGTATGTTATCAGAGCGGTCGGCACAATCAGCCTAATGCACAAAGTGCTGGAGCTGTAGTATACAATCCAGGTTATACAGCCTGGTGTCACCACTGCCCTGCATGAGATAAGACTTAGTTAGTGTGACAGGGTGTGTGCTTATGTGTTAGAG